AAAATTATTTTTAAATAATTTTTACCAACAAATACTTGATTGAATAAATACTTATTAATTTAAAATTTTTAATTTAAAATTAAAATCAGAATTTAGATTTTTATATTACTAAATAACTAATTATGTTTAAAAAAAAAACTATTTAGTAGCTTTAATTCTGTTAAACTTTTTTTTTTAAGTTCACTGCAATCACCATTAGGGATGTGAGTTCAGAAATACGTTCCAAGAAAAGTGTTGCCAAGCACACACAAAGGTCTAGAAGAAGGTAAAACATGTAGCCAAGTGACAGGAACAAAATCGTACCGTCTGGAAAAAGGTAAAACGTGTAGTTAGGACCCAAATTAAACGTTTAGGCAAGACTAAAATTGCACCGTCTTTCAAGTTACAGCATTTTTCATTTTTTGCATTCTACGTGCGTGGCCACTTACTGTCTTAAAGGACAGCTCGTGGTTTGCGCTCACAAATTTCGGGTTCAATACCCTTCACAACACCTCTAACATACTAATCTCTAATCATTGCCTTTATTAAAAAAAAAAAAAAAAAAAAGCATTTTTCATCTTTTAAAGGTGAATATAAAAATTCATTCACACAAACATAAAAGATATAGGGGGTCAAACAAACTGAACCTCAATGCCTCGTGGGAGTCAATATTACAAAAGAGGCATCAATCCAAACATATTGGAAAGGTTCAACATTTCCTCTAGTAAATCAATAAATAAATAAATAAGCAAAAATAAAACAGAATAAAATAATTTTAGCCTAGACAAAGAAAGAAAAAAAAAAAGGAAGACTAACAAAAATCACTAGGAATTATTGGATTGGGAAGACTACTTTAATAATTATACCTTAAAATAATATAATAGGGGACAATTTTAGTAAAGGCATTTTATTTTTTTTTAGAACAACTAACGAAATTTTTATTTTTTTTTTTGGTTTTTCGCCCGGTATCCGAGGTTTTGCTCCGACTAATTTGGACTCGATTCGCGTCGTCCACCTGGAAATGGTGGTGAGTCTCCTAGCGAAAACTGTTGCATATACAAGATCTCGAACTCAAAACCTTACTTAAACTGGAACAAGCCGCTTACCACTTGATCCAACGCCTCATTGGTCTAATGAAATTTTTATTGATTTATAGAGTGTAAAGGTTACTCTTGCCTATTTAATAAAGGCATAATGGGACAACTTTAATCAATAAATGTAATTTATTGTTTATATATTTTTATAAGATTAGTATTTATTAATTAAAATTTTAAATTACTAAATAACTAATTATGTTTAAAAAAAAACTATTTAGTAGCTTTAATTCTGTTAAGCTTTTTTTTTTCAAATTTGCT